GGCACAGGGCCACGCCCACACCGCGCACACCGCGCTTCTCCGAATGACGGAGGCCCCGCCCCCCTCGCCCCGGCCCCGCCCCCCGGGCGGCCCCGGGTTGGGGTCCCGGTGGTCGCGGCCCCCGCCGATGCCGCGGGCAGGGCCGGGCAGGGCCGGGCAGGGCCGGGGGGAGAGAATAAAATAACAAAGGAAATTATTTTTAAAAAAATCTCAAAATTAATATCTAAAACCCTCCTCTGCCGGCACCCGCCCCCCAGACCCGTGCCCTGGACCCGCACCCCGGTGATGCCTCCCCCAGCTCCGGGCCGGGGGTCCCCGCTGGCCCCGAAGGCCCCGGGGCACGTCCCTGCCCGGTACCGCGTTCTGAGGCCGGGCGGGTTCTGTGGGAACGCTCTGCCCGGCCCCGGTTGGAGCCGCCGCCACCGCCGCCCCCCCATCGCCGGGACCGGGACAGGGACCAGGACCCTCCTTCCCGCAGGGACGGGAGCGGCGGCGGCTCCGGGAGCCACCGGCCAACCCCGGGCTCGGCGCGACCTGCAGCGACACTCAGAGGCGGCTCCGAGCCCGGGGCTGCCCCCGGGGGACCCTCCGGGCCGGGTAGCGGGACAGGGAAAGGTCGGGCTCGTCCCTGCGCCCGCCAGGGCTTCACTAATGATCCAAACTCATTTATGTCCCGCCCCAGAGCTGCAGCTGCCGATCCCCCTCCCACAGCACGGGAATGTCCAAAAAAACCCCAAAATCTCCCATGAGGATGGACCTGTCCCAGAGCACCCGAAAATCTGCCCGTCCTTCAAAGGGCATCCAACGCTCTGGGGGAGCTGGTTTTTAAGGGAAGGCCAGGACTCTGCACGTCCTTCTCTCAAACAGCTCTGGAGGCTTTGCTGCATCATGAGGACAGTGAAGGCCCAGCCCGGGCACTGCTGTCACTGAGAATTCCCTTTGTCCATTAGAAACATCCCCCGGATCTGAGCAGCACAGAAGGCCTGGGCGTGACAGCAACACCCTGCTTTTATTTTCAGCTTTATTACTTTTAAGCCAAAAGGGTTTAACAACAGGCTCTACCACTTGAGGTTGGTTTTGGCCCTCATTTTAATACACTTGGAGGCACCTGGGAAAACCTCGACTAAAGTGTCACTAAACCTCCTTGATCCCTCATAAGGCAGCTGAGCTGGTGTCACCACAGACCTGCTGCATCGCCCTGGCTCCAGGTTGGGTCCTCTCAGCCTCCAGCACAGGGGTCTATCTGCTCCCCCACTGTCACCTGTGGGGTCAGGACCAATTCTGTCCCTGCTGAGGGATGATGGCCAGAGCTGGACACCGTTTGCAGCAAGAACACACAGGACTGTAGCTGAAGGAGGGGAGATTTAGATGAGATATTTGGAAAAAATGCTTTCCTGTGAGGGTGGGGAGGCCCTGGCACAGGTTGCCCAGAGAAGCTGTGGCTGCCCCTGGATCCCTGGAAGTGTCCAAGGCCAGGTTGGACAGGGCTTGGAGCAACCTGGGCTGGTGGAAGGTGTCCCTGCCCATGGCAGGGGGTGGCACTGGCTGGGCTTCAAGGTCCCTTCTAACTCAAACCATTTGGGGATTCTACAACTTCAAAGCCATCCCCACCTTTCTCTATCCCAGCCCTGCCTGTGCCTGTCCATCAGCTCCAGCTCTAATTCCACGAATGAATTTCCCTCCCCTCACCCACAATTTGCAAGGTGCATCAGCAAGTCCCATCCACAGGGATGCATCCCCAGGGAAAACACTTCAGTGTCATTATGGTGAACTGGCCAGAGCTGCTTTGGGGGAGTATTTTATGAGTTACTTATGGCTTAAAAATAGAACTATTAAAACTAAAACTGCACTTCCCTGCAGCCCAAGCCCTGAGTGAGAGCAGAGTGAAATCCTTCACCTTTTCCTGCCTCTGAGGGCAGGTTGGTGGTGCAGGGACACCATCTGGTGTCCCAGCTGTGCGGGTTTCAGACATGGAAATTCAAGACATCGCATCAATGACACCCTAAAAACCCTCCCCAGCCTGAAGAGGAATCCTGGCCTGGCCCTCCAATATGGCATCAGGGCACTTTCAGGGATGGCTGGAGGACCCAGAGGCCAGATCTTGATTTTTAATAATAATAATTATGGAAACGGTTGGGTTGCAGGGGACCTTAAAGCTCATCCAGTGCCACTCCCTGCCATGGGCAGGGACACTTTCCACCAGCCCAGGTTGCTCCAAGCCCTGTCCATCCTGGCCTTGGACACTTCCAGGGATCCAGGGATCCAGGGATCCAGGGATCCAGGGGCAGCCACAGCTTCTCTGGGCAACCTCTGCCAGGGCCTCCCCACCCTCCCAGGGAAGGATTTCTTCCCAATATCCCATCTAACCCTGCCCTCTGGCAGTGGGAAGCCATTCCCCCTTGTCCTGTCACTATCTGCCAGCATAAAAAAATCCCTCTCCCTTCTTTTCATAAGCCCCCAATTATTTTTATAATACACTCAAGAGTTGTGCCAGGAACAGGTCACAATGCATAAATCTTTAGTGATGCTGTTTCCAACACGACCCCTCACATTTGGTGTCTCCAAATATCAATCCCAATGGTGCTTTGGTGAGGGGATGATCCCACCCTTCCCTAAGGAAAAAAAACGTGCCCCCAATGTGCCCAGGATGTGCCTCGGTGGCTGAAAACAGGAGACAGAGGTTTTTGAAAAAAAAATTCTTTATTGGAACTCATCTGAACATCAGATATACCTGGTGTTGGTTAGCAAGAACCGTTTGTACATTTGATATTGATGGTGCCAAAACCCCAAACAGCGACTGACTGGAGGAGATGGAAATTAAAAATAATAAAATAAAATAAAATATAAGGTCAGAGAGGTCAAAATGTGAACAGAAAAGGGAAAAATCAGCCAGTCTAAGAGTCAGCATGAAGGCAGAGTATTTCCTGATAAAACAGAATCCTTTTACAAAATATAAATTTTGTAAGAAAAACATGGAGAGGGAAAAAGAGACAGAGGAGAAAGGAGAAATAAAGATGAGCAGGACAGGGATGCAGAAGCTTACACTGCCCAAATGGCATTAAAACCTACTGGAAACCTCACCAGAAAATGGAACATGCTGGAATACACCGTGCTCCACCCCCCACATGACTCTGGGACTAAGGAGGAAGCTCCCAGCGAGCTGCACTGGGCTATTCCAGAGGGCCAAGCCGTCCCACATCGGATGGGGAACAAAAACCAAACACTGATGCAGCAGAGTAAATGTGGACAGTCAGGGTCACCTGCTCTTCCTACCAGTGCAGGTGGGGAGGGAGAAAACATTTAAAACCTAGTCTATCTGCAAACAAGAGCATGCAAAGTCAGGCTCAGGGGAACCTGCGCCGGCCCCTCCGCCCAGAGCGGGGCCGGGGGGACCCCGACAGCTCCGTCCTGCAGGAAAACCTCCCCGGAGCTGCTTCCCGGGGGGGCTGAGGCCTTGAGGCTTGAAAAACAAACCAGCAGTCTGTACATTTTGGGTTGGTTTGGTTCAGTACAAATGGAATCGAGTTGGCTGCTCGTGCTCCACCAGCACAGCTCTGGTTTCAGGGTGGAGGAGAGGAAACAAACTGGATTTGGGCACCTACTGGTAACAAAACGCTGTCCCTGCTGAACTCTGCCGTCCCTCAGGAAGTGGAAAGCACATGTTTAGGTAGTGTAAGCCTTTTTCCTTTTATTTAGAATACCCTCTTTGTTTAAACAATATTCCCCCCCCCCAGATACAAAGTTCGGCCAGTAAAGATTACATGGAAAGTGGAACACGCATCGTCTGGAATACAAGATGCACCGGATGAGGAAGTTTAAAAACTTTCCGAGCGAAAAGTAGAACGAAGAAGAAGAAAAAAAAAAAAAAAAAAGTCTCCTAACATTTTCCCAAAGGTTTCACTCTCCTGTCACACACACTCTCCAAATGACAGCTAGCAAATTCAACTCTGCAAAGAGAAAACAGAGCCACGTCACTCGAGAGGAGAGGGAACAAGGCTCGGGGACACAGCCTGGGAGTGATGGGGATGGAGCCCTGTGAGCCTGGAGAGGCCCCACTCACCTATGTCAACTTCTTGGCTTTGTTGTAGAGCGAATCCACTACTTTGCTCATGTTCTGGATCGTCTCGAGGGCGGCCTCGTAAGTTTTGTCTACGGGGGGTTCGTCGAAGATGATCAGGACGCCCTCGCCCTGGTCGAGGATTCCTGTGGGAACAAGCTGCCTTTAGCACTGGGATGCTCCATGGGTCACGTCTTCCAACAGTAGGAAATCAGGGATCTACCCCAGAAACGCCCAGGGTCTGGGAAGGGCTCGTGTGTTGCGCTGGACTGGCTGAGTTTGGTCAGGACTGCATCAGCATTCCCAGGAAAAAAATACATGCCAGGGAACAGCCTGAGAAGCCATCCAGGAGAAGCTCATTGCCTACAAGCTCCCTGCCCTGTGCCCAGCTGGATGGATCAGCCCAGCACTGGAGCAAGGCTAAAAAGGAGTTGGTCTATAATGGGACTGTTCCCAGGTGCCAGGTGGGCTCTGTCCTTCCAGAGTGTTCCATACCCAGCGTGCTGCTTCCAGCCTTCCCCTCCCTCAGCCAGATCCAGGGGCCTTGCTGATTGACACAGGGACAATAGAACCAGAGCAGAGCTGCTTCCCTGAGGGATCACTAGGGCAGCACCTCTGCTGTGGGCCCAGCCAACCCAGAGCACCTCCTGTGCCATGGGGGTGCCCCTTCCAACAGAACACTCTGGATACAAACCAGCTGGGAAAGGTGACCACATCCCACTCAGCTCCACGGGGGAAGAGCCCACCTGGGGGTCCCACACCCTCCTTGGATGCTCTCACAGCACAGGAGAACCCAACAGTGCTCCTGATTTGTGAAAAATCAATCCTTGGGCTTAAAGAAGGCGGATGGAGCAGCAGGAAGAGCCTCCCCGGTTGTCACCTGAGCTGAGCAGGGGGGCTGAGCACCCCCAGGGTTCAGAGGAGGAAGAGGAGTCCAAGCACAGCTCTGCACACACACAGGCACCAAGGCACTCAGGACTGAGGGATGCAGAGACTCACCATGAAACTTCTTGTCCAAGATCATCTGTGATAGCTTCCTTTCTACCTCAGCCTGAAATTGAAGCAGAGAAATCAAAAGTCTCCCAGAAGCACATAAAAACATGGGAATTTTACTGCTCCACACTCAGCCCTGGTGGGACATGAGCACTGCTCAAGAGCAGCTACTTCCTCACTGAATGTCAGGACAGGCTTTGATGCCACCACATGCTTTAGATGCCTCAGGAAATTAAGGAGCAGCTTTTAATGAGGAGAAAACCCAGAATGTCCTGCCTCCTTGTTCCACAGATGATGCTGAATCTGTCACTTCAGACAGGCTTTACTCCTCAGGGGATCTGGAACATTCTAGCTCAGTTCAGCAAGGATTAGGTCAAGTTTTATTTAATCCACCCAGCACCAGGCAGGCCCATGGGAGGCAGCTCCTCTCCAGCTCCTTGGGCAGAGGGGACACAGCTGCAGTTAAAGAGCTGCAGAGCAGCTTTTACTCCAAATATTAAGGATGTGTTAAACACCAAGGGCTGGTCTAGAAAAAAAAGTGTGCCAGGAGAGGTTTGGGCTGGATATCAGGAAAAAATTTCTTCATGGAAAGGGTTGTCCAGCCCTGGGCAACTGGAGAGTCTCCGTCCCTGGAGGGGTTTAAAAGCCACACGGATGTGGCCCTTGGGGACATGGGTCAGTGGTGGCCTTGGCAGTGCTGGGGGAACAGTTGGACCTGATGATGTCAGAGGCCTTTTCCAACCTCAGTGATTCCTGTGACTCCGTGACCAGCTCAGCTCACGTCCAAACCTCTGCCCTCACTGCCAGGACACGACAGCAGCACTCTGGGATGCAACTTCCTGGGATTACACTGGATTTCCCTAAAACTTAATCTGGCTGGGATTATCTGTAAAGCAGTTATTGCAACAGTCAGTGTGACAGTCACAGCCCTGGTGACACTGCAGGGTGATTAGCTGGATCCTGGATCTTAAAGGTCTAAGAAAGGTTCCCCTGGGTATGCTCAGGGGATTAAACCCAGGGCAGCAGGGAAGACTGAGCCAGTCAGGACAGGAGCTGTTCCTGCAGCAGAGGAAAATCTGTCTCCAATAAAAAGAAAGTGCCAAGAGAGGGAGTAAAACCCATGTGAGGGAAGGGGATGTTACAGCAAAGTCTAGAGACAGGAAGACTTGATGCCTCCCAGGAACTTCCCAAGTTAAAGTTGAATTCCCAAGGTGATATTTGCCTGGGAATGCTGGGGAGCTCATCTGTCACACTTCATGTTTAGTTCCCAGTGGCAAATGCCATTTAACCCCAATTCCTCTGCCCTTTTAAGATGTGTCACTGATTTCTAGTGAGGTTCTTACCTTTGAGAGCTTGATGAGGCTGGATATGTGTTCAATCTACAAGAGAGACCAACAGAGTCAGGTAAATCTTTTGCTGCACTTTGGACACAGAACACAGAGGTTTGGGGCTCTTTGGAACAGCTCAAGGGCCTGGAAATGCTCTGGGCTAAAAATCTGCAGTGGCTTTGTCCTCTCTGCAGCTTCAGGTCCTTTGTGTCTAATTTTAACTGAAGGTGGACTGGACATCTAAAGCCCTTTCACTCTGAAACATGAAATATTTCATCTCCAAGACCGTGGCAGCTTTGCCCACACCCTGTCAGAGCTCATCAAAGAAAAACACTGTTACCTTCACTGTTACCAAAGCCAGTCACCTTTCAGCGAGCATAGGGGAAACAGGTGGAAAGGCCAGTGACTCTGGAATGTGGTTTTCCAAAAGTCTCAGCCCCCTCCTGATCATTTTTTCAGCTGAACACGATGAACCCTGAGCTCTGAAGTGCTGAGCAGCTCTGAGTAAGGAGTATTCCATGAGGGAACAAGCCCCTCACCCCCCAGCAGCAGGGGACAGAGGCACCAGCTGGATGTGCTGCTGGAAACATTTACCTGTACTCTGGAGAAGGGTTCAATAACTCTGATCAGGTTCTGTTCCAATAAATTATCATAGAGCTTGGCCAAGTGAGTGTTTATGATGGGGTCGTCCCTGAGCTCCACCTTATAGTCTGTCAGGGCCTGTGGAAGAAATAGTTGAGGTAAAACAGGTTCTCTGAGGATGAAACCCCCTCCCCTCCTTGCCCAGCACAGTATCATGGCTAATCCAACCCCAAACTTAGCTAAAAGCCAGGAGGTCATGACAGCCCAGCAGCCTTTCAAGCTTTTTTCATCCTCACATAAGCCCAAATCTCTGCTTCACACGCAGCAGGATTGGCTCCTGACATGGGAATCCTCTGTGGCTATTCTTGCTGGAGCCAGGAAAAATTTCAGGAAGATACACAGCCCAGTGAACAGCACCAAAAGGAAAACTGCTTCTGAGTTGGCTCTCCAAATATAAAAAGTTAAAAAAACCCAGGTTCAAACAAGTTTACCCCCCACGCTGAGAAAAGCCAACCGGTTGATTACTGAGGGGTATTTGCTTGGTGCACTGTTGTTTTCTATCAATGTTTCCATGGTTTCCTGCTGTGGGATGTAGCAGCTCCTACAGCTTTCCAAACCTGGCATTTCTGACTGGTTTTTGTCCAGCCAGGCCCCATTTGCTGTCTCACCTTTTCAAAATCTGCCAGCGACCGGTTCTTGCTGGCCTGTGCCACGCATTTTAGTGCTTCTGTCTGCGGGGAAAGAACACCAAAAAGAGGTTATTTCTTTCTGGAATCTCCTCTCACTGAGATTATGCAAATTGTGCAGTATCCTGGGAACGTGCTTAAGCAGGAAACCAGGAATGTTCCTTGTGCTACAGAGCCCTGGGAGTGTCACTGCCACAAGGCAGAGCAGCTGCTGAGGGGGGAACGTGTCCAGCAGCTGCAGGACAGGGTGTGGAACCAGCCCCACAGAGCACCCAAGGTCTGCAGGTCTGAGATCACCAGCTGCAGGCTGGGAGCAAGTTTGACACTGTTTTTAAGGAAAATGCCCCCTTAGGCACTTGCTAAATGAAGGTGGCCGTTTTCAGCCCTCAGGCTGAGTTTCTCCCCTTCAGCACAGCCACATCTCCTTTGCTGGGTGACAGGGGCCCAGCAGCAGTCCCAGGGACACCCCACCAGGGACACCCCACCAGGGACACCCCACCAGGGACACCCCACCAGGGACACCCCACCAGGGACACCATCTTCTTGTCTACCCATTAATTGCTGGAACAAAGCAAGAACCTCAGCCCCGACCTGATTTCCCTCAAAGAGAGTGGCAACCCCACCAAAGAACAGCAGAACAGTGCCCAGGACGTGGATCTGGTGCACAAGGCCCAGGATTCTGCTGCCCCCTTTCTTTTTGGGATTGTCCTGTGCAGAGCCAGGAGTTGGACTTGATGATCTTTGTGAGTCCTTTCCAACTCAAGATATTCCACAGTTCCCACTGAGCTGTCCCCAGGGCTCCCCATGCTGTTCCCCAGCTGCTGCAGGAACTGCTGATCGTGGCTGTCTCAGCAGCACAGTTTGGACAATACCCAGGATCTCCCACCCAGCTGCCCCTCCTGCTCTGGAGAGGAGCCTCCAACCAGCTGGCAGTCTGGGGAAGGGGATGAGGCAGGATTAGGGCTGCCCTTCCTGCTCCAGGAGGGATATCCCCATGTCAGACTCTTCCACACCGACCTCCTCTGGTAATTCCCAATCCCCTGTGGGCAGTGAGAGCACAGCCCAGCCTGAGCACAGCCCTGAGGGCAGGAGGCTCCCAGCCTGGATTCTGGCACTGCACACTCTATAAGCATCCCTGGATTTAATTTAGGAGCAGCATTCCCAGCCTGGCACGTTCACATGCCAGAATGAACAGAAGATTTAACAATTCCTTCCACCTCACAGCCCCCCAGGACTCAACCTGCTGGGCTGGGACACGAGGCCCTGATGCCACTGGGCAGTTTGTGGTTCATGAAGGGAGGAGAAAAACAGGGGAAACGAAGTGAACCCCCCAGGTTCTCAGGTTGTGAAAATCACTGGAAATCCCTTGAAGGCAACTGACTGCTGGTAATGATTCTTGGTAATTTAATCAGTTCTGGATTTCACTCAGGAGTGGCATTTTGGTATGAAAAGACCAAAGTGTTTGACAAAAAGAATAACCCAGTATTCTGAGAGATAAGAGGAAGATAGGAAGGATTAAGTTTCTATACCTGTCTTCCTGCATACCGCAGAGCAAGCTTCCCACTCACTAATGCTTGCACATCTTCTGGGCTAGAGAGGGGAGGGAAGGGAACAGAGCATTTATTCAGCAACAAGGTCAGCTTAAACCTCAGAGTGCCTCCAAAATTCCCAACTGACAGCAAATTACTACAGTTCAAACAACACCATCTGAGAAGCATTGATTAGGTGATAAAGCAGACACTGCTTGAGTTCCCTCACCAGAACTCAGAGCCTTATAAACAAAAAGCCTTTCCCCTGGAAATGCAGGGATGTTCTTCCCAGCACCATTTGCCACGTACCTGTTCAGCATGATTTTGCACAGCAACATGTACTTCAGTGCAATGATGGCTTTGGGGTTGTCAATTGAATCATTTCCCTCAAATGCCTCATAGAAATATGAATAGGCTGTTTTCCAGTCCTTCTCTTCTGCTGCATGGATAATACCTGTGGGAGGGACAAACCAGAGGTCATTCTGGACATAACTGGAAGAGGACAGAACAATTTGGTTGCTCAGTAGTACTCGGTAAAGGGAATCCTGTGCCCCCTTTCCCTCATCTCTGTGAGAAGAACATCCCTGCCCTCTCTTACGAGGACATTTTAAGAAAGACAAGTTTGGGGCACTTCAGGTAAGTGCCTGTAAACTGGGTCAGGACTGTGTAATGGGTCAGGAACACAGTGTAATGCTGCAGTGCCTGGGGAGGTGACAGACCATCCACCACTGCGGGTTATCAAAACTGGGCTGGAAACACAAGTGTCAGGAGCAATGTCATTGGAACTGGGGAGACGGGTGGGCACCTTGAGGTCCCACCGAGCATCATTTCTCATTATTCCCTTCAGGACGAGTCACTGACGTGTCAGGAGGAGTCCTGGATGTCCCCTTTCTCCTGGAGGCCTCACCTGACTGCATGTCCAGCGCTGCCTGCAGCTTGGGGGGACAGTAGATGGCATTGGCCGTGGTCCGTGCCGAGGTTAAGGCTGCTCTTGCTTTTGGCAGGTTGCTCAGGGCATGGTAAGTCTTGCTCTCCAACAGCTGCACTTCCACCAGCAGTGCCTTGTCATCCATCTTCTTCAATTCCCGCAGGAGCTGGGAGCCTGGGAGAGGGGAAGGACAACAGCTCTGGGACCTGCTGCTCTCAAACCAGGGCCCTAAAGGTGAGACTTGAGGATTTTTAAGCATCTCCTAAGATGATGGGATGAGGAAGGAATGCTTTAAGCACAGGATATTTACAGGACAAATGTAGGAGGTGGGAATGGACAGGCTAAAGGATGCCAAGATAAGCTGGCACATCAAAGCCTTGTGAGGACAGAATGAGCCAGTCTTGGAGAAAACTTGTCTCCTTCTTTCCCCCCACTAAACCAAGAGGTAACTTAGGTGAGCAGAGATGAGCACCTCCTCCTGCCTTGCTGTTCTCAGGGGCTGAAAAGCAGATCTGAAACCGCATTACTGGGTAGAAAAGAACAGATTATCCCAAAAACATCCCAGAGACTCCCTGCTTGCCCTGACCCCCCACAGCCATGGACACAACACTGACCCCTCAGGGCATTATCACAGGGGCTGTCCTAGAGGTACAGGCCTTCCCAAGTCCCCAGGCTGTCCCACCCCCCCCAAGGGATTAAACTCGTTAAGCACAGCTTTGGAGTGTGGCCTCTGATCACTTTAAACCTGAGTTCATTACATTTCTGTATGCAAATTAGTTCTAACTCCATCCTGAATTCCATGTACAACAGCTCTTAACTTGATATTCTGATCAGATACAAGTCCCCCAGGTGACTCTGGACATGACACAGCTCGTGCCACCACTCAGGTTCAGAACTTGTGGGTCCCAGGTGAGCACTGTGTCCATGCAGTCACCCCTCAGCCCTGCTCTGCCACACTGCTGTGCAAACACCCCTCAGCCACCTCAAACCTCACTCACAGCTTAAACTTCACTCACAGCTTAAACTTCACTCCCAGCTTAAACTTCACTCCCAGCTTGAACTTCACTCCCAGCTTGAACTTTCACCTGCAGTCATTTCCAAAAATGAGCATTTAAAAGGCAGCAGGGGAGCTGTAAGATGGCCTGCTTCACTCTGCTCTGGGGCAGAGCAGGAGTTCACGTGGTTAACAACCATCTCAGGTGGTGCAGGAGCAAATTCTTGAAGTCTTTACAGCACCTCACCAGAGCTGGTCTAAGGACACCCACAGAGGTTCTGCCATTTCCCAGCACTACCATTGCTTTCCTGGGGTTGTGTTTGAGCAACGGGACAAAAAGCTGCTTTCTCCCTTAAGCCTGACCACAGCAGTGTATTCCAGCATGTTCCAGCAGCAGCCAAACTCCAGCCTTCAACTGGATACAGCTCAAAAATTATTTGTAATTAATAAGTCACAGAATCCTGGAATGGTTTAGGTTGGAAGAGGCCTTAAAGCTCATCTCATTCCACCTCCTGCCACAGGCAGGGACACTTTCCACTAGCCCAGATTGCTCCAAGCCCCATCCAACCTGGCCTTGAGACCAGGTGAGATGGGTGAGGATGGTGAAACAACGAGAACAGAGACATCTCTAAGAGCTGTTACCACCCAGCTACAGCAAGAGGTGGCAGAACTGGCACAGCCCTGAGGAATCAACAGCCAAATCCTACAAAGCTTATCAAGGAACACGACCCAGCCTGTGGTTTCCCTTGTCAAGAGTCATTTAAAAGCAGAGATCTACTACCACCATCTAGTGGGAGCCTCACCTAGTTGCAAAGCTTCTTGGTACTTCTTGTTGTCGAAGTAGAGAGAGACCAGCCTGGCCTGGAGAACAGAAAAGGAACTGCTGTGAGGAAAGCCAGAACAGATTTATTTTGTAAAATGGAACTTCGGACATTCTCATCTGCACACACTTCACTAAAATTAATCTAGATCTGACACGTTACGTGGCCCAAGTTGTGGACAAAATCCTGCCTTTTTTTTTTTTTTTTTTTAATCTAGATCTGACACGTTACGTGGCCCAAGTTGTGGACAAAATCCTGCCTTTTTTTTTTTTTTTTTTGAGGAGAACCACTGATTTCAGTGTAATTAATGCCCACCCATGAGACACACACACACACACAAGGACAACACACACGAGAGTCCTCTGCTTTTGATGGGTGTTAAACCTAAAGGGGTGATGTGAGCCACACGGGTTTGGGATGTAGTAACCTACCTCCAGAGCCTGGCGTAGGAAAGTCCTCTTCTCTAATTTGGCCCATTCAATACACTCTAAACACAGGTCCACCTTAAAGGGAGCAGAAGGAAATTAGTCCAGCCTAAAAGTCAAGGTTAATTAGGCAAGGCTAAAAGCTTTCCTTGTTAGTGCCTCCCCCAAATGCCTCCGAACGACACCTTTGGTGTCGTTCGGAGGCATTTGGGGGAGGCACTAACAAGTTAAAACTCACAATTATGCTATTTTCAACAAAGGAAAACAAATGTCCTGAGGTGCCAGGCTCAGGAAATCCTTCTCCCAGGATCTCTGGAGCAGGACTTGTCGGCTCCTCCTCGCTGCTTATTAAATGTGAGCGTTTTATAAAAAGCCATTACGAGGTTTCAAATTTATTGCCCAGCGATAGCTGGAGCATTAGGAGCTGGAGAAACCTCCAGTTTTCATTGCTTTACTGGGCTCCTGGGAGTCTTCTCAACACCAAGTCCCTTGGAACATTTCTGAAAGGATTCAGGACTGCTGCATCAAGAACCTCATGGGTTAGATGTCACCATTCCTTAAGGTTTTGGGTTTGGAATATGCTTGAAAATTAATAATTTTGACTCACTGGGTCCTATTTCCATTGCTGTTATTCCAACTCCTTTTGCAACTGCACCCAAATATTGTCCTTTGTACCAAGTTAACTTTAGAAGAGTCTGAAGCTGCTCATCTTCTCCTGATGATTTAAGGATTCCTCTCTTCTCACCTGCACATCCCACCCCACTTCCTGATCCCTTCTGCTAAAGGGAGGCAAAACACTCTGTCACCATTTATGGCAACATCACACAGAAGGCACGAGAAGCAAACAGCAAATTTGGAGGAACATTTCCCTGGGTTACCTGCACTGAAAGGTGATGGTTCTGTGCTAATTTGGCTAATGAGAACACCACCTGCCCCTCAGCATGGCAGAACCAAACCTGCCCTGCAGTCTGTCAGTCCCTGTGTGCAGGTTTTATGTGGGTTTTGTCCTTGGCCTGCTGCTCCTGTCTCTCTTCTCCACCTAAGGGACTGGTGTGCCAGTACAGCCCACTGCAGGTCAGCGCTGCTTGGGAGTGGCTCCTCATCACTTATAAGATGCTCCTGTTCTTATCCCATTCCCAAATAACCAAAGAGTGGGGAAAAACTCCAAACACCAAACAACTGTATCCTAGGGAGCTGATGAGAACAGACTGAATCCTAACTGTGTTAGACTGTCCTGGGCTTTCTGTGGAGAAGTTCATCCACTGACACGGTTTACACCTGTAAAACTCTTTCCACTCCCACTTCAGGAGTAACTTTCGTGCCTCAGTGCAGTAAAACATCCCCCACACTGTCTCCAGGTGGAAGATGCTGAGTAACACTGACCATTGAACCCCAGCAGCTCCTGGACAGCTCCTCTGTGCCACCCCACACCAGGCCCACCTTTCCTGGCCCCGGCTCCCTGGAGCAGGTGGAGCACCTCTCACACCCCCAACACTGACCATGCTACAAAACACTCCTAGTGCTGTACCTAAAATCATTTAGGTTGGAGAAGACCCCAAAGATCATCGAGTCCAAGCATTCCCCCAGAATGGCAACCACTGACCCATGTCCCCAAGTGCCACATCCACACATCTTTCAAATCCCTCCAGGATGGGGACTGTGCCAGGCCTGGACAACCCCTTCCGTGAAGAAGTTTTCCCTAATATCCAACCCAGCCCAACTTGAGGAAACAACACAAACCTAAGACAGGGTGGGAACCACTCCTAACCCGCAGCAGAAAAACATGGTTGTGAATCAAATCATCTGCTGTTTTATTTATAAAACACATCCAGGTGCATTTAAATGACACGAATAATTCTTGAGTGCGAAGCAAACTAGGTCAGATAAGGGTATTGCAGCTTTTGAGGAACAGCTGGAATTGCTGCTGGAACTGCAGCCTCACCTCCTGTCCTGTGGCTGCCTCCATGTTAAGGAGCAGGTCGAGCAGGACCCGCACTATATGGGCGGCCTTGGCTTTGCTGATGATGTTCAAGAAGGGCCGGATATACTTCAGGAGTCCTCCCAGCTCTGGAGAAAAAACAAACCCCAAATCATGAAATACAAGAGCCAAGAGCTGCTGACAGGTCTGCACACAGCATTTATTCCACCAAACAGGCAGTTTCTCCACGTTATTTTCACAGGACACAGCGATAAATGTCACCTGCAGCAAACAGGGGGCTCCAGCCTCGCCCACACTGCCTGGTGCTGCAGCTCCCCAGTTACCACCAGTTGGAACTACTTCTGCCTCAGGCACCTTTTAAAAATGTAAGAATCTGCTAAATGCTTTGAGACTTCTCTGTAAAATGGACTTCGTGGTTTAAATGTGTTTTTACAATCTCAGTTTGATGCTAGACCCAGGAAGTCGGATACACTCCCTGCTCCAAAATGGAAAATGACATTCCTTAACACTCCAACTGCTGGAAAATGACATTCCTTAACACTCCAACTGCTGGGAAATGACATTCCTTAACACTCCAGCTACACCTTTACCTGATTAGCTCTTACCTCAAATAACTGCATTTCTGCTCGTAACAGGTATATTATAAGGGATAAAGTGAGTCTTTAGAAGAGGTAGAAGAAGGAAAAGTCTGTCTTTATGAAGAAACACCCCAAAGTGTCATTCCCAGAGAGCAGCAATGTGGCTGTCAGGGCACAGCAGCTCCAGGAGTTGGTGTCACCCTGGGAGTGACCTGCTGGAATTGCACAAGTGAAAAGTCTCCTACAACAAACAACAGGTGGCCAGGGGGGCAGGTCCCAGCCAGGGCTGTTTCCAGTTTGGGAAGATGATCTTCCAGCAGAGCAGGATTCAGTGCTGACTCAGCAGCAGAGGGGTTTACACTGAAATCGCAGCTATTTGCCCCAGATTTCTGAGTCTCACCCAAATATCAGGTGGATCTCACACCACCGTGTTTACAAGATTCAGTAATAATAAAAGAAAAATCAAACAAAGACTTGTAATAACTAATTCAGGAATCTGCAATATACTCTGTATCAAACTGGTATCAAATCAAAACTAAAATAAGAGACTAATTTTATTTCAATTAGTATATGGGGGAGTATCAGAAGGATTTCAGTTTGGGAGGATTCCAATAAAAACAAATGAAAACAAGGTTTCTTCCATATTTCATTTAGCAGTAATGCAAAGTAATTGTCATGAGAATATCTTACTAATATCTAAAAATTATTCCTCATATTTTTTACTTTTTCAACCTATTTATTTTAAGTTTAACCAAGTCTGATACAACTCATGTCTCACACTCTTAAGAAGTGGAACCCAGTTTTTTCCAATCCAATCACTCATGGTGATCATGGAATAGTTTGGGTTGGAAGGGACCTTAAAGCTCATCCAGTGCCACCCCCTGCCATGGGCAGGGACACCTCCCACCAGCCCAGGTTGCTCCAAGCCCTGTCCAACCTGGCCTTGGACACTTCCAGGGATCCAGGGGCAGCCACAGCTTCTCTGGGCAACCTGTGCCTGGGTCTTACCACCCTCCCAGGGAGGAATTTCTTCCCAATATCCATCTAACCCTGCCCTCTGGCAGTGGGAAGCCATTCCCTGTGTCCTGTCTCTCCAGGTCCTTGTCCCACATCCCTCTCCAGCTCTCCTGGAGCCCCTTCAGGCACTGGAATGATGTTGTACTGACATTTTCAAACATCTCAAAGCGCAGATTTAGAACAAACAGAACTTCTCTGGGGTGTGCCCTGGATCCTCAGAGCAGCCTCATTCCCAAACTGCAGTGCAAGAGATCCTGAATCCTTCCACAATGAAATACTTGGAACAGGGAACAAAACAAGATGCTCTGTCAGGCCTTAGCCTTCATAAAAGTTTGACTTTCTCTCTGCCAGAGCACACAGGGGCAGTTTTTTCTAGAACTAAGGTACAGCTGCTTTAATATCTAAGCCCTGACAGTGCCCAGCTTTTACTCCACAAGGAACTGATATCTGCTGCCCCACTTCACCCACACCACTCCTGTCCTGAGGTCCATTTAACCCCCAGTACCACTCATGGATGCAAATCCCAATCCTCTGAACCCAAGCCAAACACTCTGGTTTCACACACAGCAAACAAACCCCCAGGACAGCAGCACACAGCTCCTTCCAGCACCTCAGTTCTGCACAGAGCCACTCCCAGGGGTCAGGATGTGGGCTGGGAAGGGGGGCTCTGGATCCACCAGCTCTCAACCACTCCCAAGCACCTCCTCCTGTGCATCCCTGGGCTACCCCAGCCCCTCAGGACCAGTGGAATCATGGCTTTAGTGCCCATCATACTCTTCCCCACAGGAACTTTAGAAGAAAAAAAGGAAAAATCAGGTGAAACATAATGCAGGATGTGTCCAACCTTTCCACTGATGTGCTCTGCAGCTGCCCCAGAACTCAGGAGAAACCCAAGTCAACAGCTGCAATCCAGCTGTGCATTTTGCAAACTACACGTTCAGCCACATGGGATCAAAGTTCCCGCAGAAATTTCTCTTCCCTACCAACATAACCATCAACTATTTTTAGGATTTTATTTTTTTCAAGTGAATGCAATGCCTGGCAAAGGGGTGTGATTGACAGCTCTGGAGAAGTGATGAGCAGCAGCTCTGGAAAATTAAGCCTTGCTGCTCATCCTCGGGGAAAGTGCTTCCATGGGCTCACACATCACGGATCCAAATTCCTGATCCGAGTTATTCCAATTCTATAAAAACCTAGAACTGTCACAAAAAAAAAAAAAAGGAATTGATCTGTGAGTTTATCTGCTTGATAAGGATACAGGATTGAAGAGGGTCACTGGTATTATTGTTGTTTTTCTAAACAAAGGCTGCAATTCAGCAGTCATGGAATCATGGAATGTTTTGGGTTGGAAGGGACCTTAAAGCCACCCCCTGCCATGGGCAGGGACACCTTCCACTAGCCCAGGTTGCTCCAAGCCCCGTCCAGCCTGGCCTTGGACACTTCCAGGGATCCAGGAGCAGCCACAGCTTCTCTGGGCAACCTGTGCCAGGGCCTCCCCACCCTCACAGGGAAGGATTCCTTCCCAATATCCACTTCCAGGGATACTGGGCACTGCAACACCTCAAACCTGTCACCACTTGCTAAAACTAAACCTGGAAAAGTGACAGGAAGGGAAGGTGACAGAGCCTCTCCCACAGCACCAGCACAGCCCCAAGCTGGGGTACCCATTCCTTCCCCCCCAGCTCCACCACACCTCCACAAAGCACATCCTGCTGATCCCACTCCCATCTCCACACACACAGCTGGCATGTTAATGTCACCACATTAATCTTCTTCTACCCAGAACAAAATCACTCTGCAGTTCAGTGTTCTCTCTAACACCCTGCAAATACATTTCAGGTTTGCTCCTTCATAACCCTGCGTTTGATGAGTTAATGTTGTTATTTTCAATTTCTTAGCCTTCCCCTTAAAAAGAAATAAATCTATTAGCTGCCCACCCTCTCAGAAAACCTTGGAGTTCTTTATACTGGTGTAAAACTTCCACTTAAACTCAAGACTACTCCAAGCTCTGCAGAGATGAGGAGGTCACATGGACTCTGCTCCCAGTTCTGCTCCCCAGCAGCACATCCCACCCTGACCTGAGGAGACCCTGGTGATGGTTTCCCCCTTTTTGGCCCAAACACTCACATCTCCCTTGGTGCAGGGGCAGAACCATGTTTGGTTTTTTCTACATGAGTAAACAGCAGAGTGCAAAGGGCACTGGCACAGTGACACCCACACCGAGCCGACTGACTTCAATTAGGAAAGGGGCACTTGTACAGCAGCTTCCTTTGTCCTGCTCCAGGCCTTCCTGCAGGAATGCTGTGCTGGAAGGGTTTATTGTTCCCCAGAGGCTCTGGAAGGAGTCCCCAGCAGGAATCAGAGGTGCACACCTGAGTGAAGGGACAGGAACAGCACCTTTGTTTCCAGCACTGCTCTCAGGGCCAGTCATCTCCCATCCCCAGCCCTTTTAAACGGGATCCACAGTGGGGCTGGGGGCTGGAATGCTCAAAACACCTGTGGATATGGGCAGAGCACTTAAATGGCCCAGCCAAAGAGATGTTTCAAAAGGCTGGACAGTGGGACACCAGGGGGTAATTCCACAACAAATATAAACTGTGATCTGGATCAGCAGCTCCCTGAGCCCTCACAGAGCTTTCCCAGCTCTGGTGTCCCAGTCCAATTCCAGTGTGATTAAACCTCCTGCTGGGCTGCTTTCCCCACCAGTGCCAGACTTAAGAGCACACCCCTTCCACTCCTCACCCTGCCCCACTGCTGTGCACAGGCAGAAACCCCAGGGCTGCAGCCTGGCCAGGGAACACCGACACCGTGTGACAGCTCCTGCAACGCTCCAGGGGAAAAGTGCCCCCAAAAAGGCACAAACACAACCCCAAACTGCTGAGTGCAAAATAACCAACCCCCTGCCCTGAGGAAACAGAGGACAGGAACAGATTCCAAATAATCACTGAACAGAGAACTCAGCTCCATCTCTGTCCCCTCACAATGGAGGGACTGTCCCATCCTGCTCCCGTGTGGAGCTGGGCAGGCTTTGCTGATGTCATGGCCCAGCAGATAAATCAATTAATTGTGAGGGAAGCTTTATGGGACAAACTTTCCCATTTGAAACAAGGCTCTGAGGTAATTAAAAACCAATCAGGAGACACTTCTCATCCCAAACATAATGACTTAACAAAACTTTAATCACTTGTACTAAAAGACCAACACGTCCAAAAGTCACAGACTGAACTGTACAGCAGCATCATTTGGGACACTGGGACAAGCAGCACAAGATTAACATTTTATGTTGTTTATTTAACTTTTTAGGGTTTTTTTAGTTTAGTTTCTGTCCTGTCTCTGAGAAAACGTTCCCTGCCAAAAGCTGCTTTTCCTGCTGTCCCATAAATAAGGAGACTAAACGCACTGGCTGCAGTACCTCCTGTCAGCTCAGCTGGATCTCAGACTCACCTTCTGCCTGCCCAGTCTGGGCCAGTAGTGATGCCAGCTCCAGGATGCTCTGCTCCTTGACCTGCACTGCTTCCTCATCGTCCTCATAGACCTCACGTTTCACTGGGGAAAAAAACACAGGAAACGTTGCTTTGGTGCTGTTCCAGAGGACAATCCCTGCTGGTCAGCTCCTGGAGAGGTGCCCAAAAGCAGGAGCTGATCCCACAGGCACAGGTGAGTTCAGCCCAGCCCGAGAGGTCAGGGGGGCAGGTTCTGTGGGAGGTTTAAATTCAGTTTGTAGAGCTTTGCCTGTGCTCCATGAGGGTTTCACAGCTGACAGACCCCACTGCAATCCCAGCTCTGAACAGTCTCATTCAGCTTGTCCAGCTGTGCAAGTGGCATTTACAGACACCACCACAGACCAGAGCCACAGAACCAGATAAAGGGCATTTAATGGGATTTCCGGGGACATCCCACTCTGCTGCTCTGTGTGTTAAGCTGAGATCCTGTGGATGAAATGCAGCGCAACACCATCTCTGAGAGGTGGGTATGTCCCCCCTCACTCAGGTGTCACAGCCGCTGGCAGTGCCACTACACTCTGTGCCAGGTGAGTGACTCTGCTCCCGGGCAGGTAAAGGGCCAAACGACACCCAGAAGCACCAGTTCATGAGTTATCCCTTTCCTTCCCTGCCACCACCCCCAGCGCAGGGAATCCCTCCAACTTCCCCACAAACAGAGCTAAAATCCCAGCTCTGAGGGGACTAAACCCTCCAGGAGCCCGGACTGTGGCTCTCAGCCCCTGTAACTCAGTGTGGTGCCCAAAGCGAGGGAACTTTGCTCTCAAGGAGAAAAGCATCGCACAACACTCCGGGCTGCTCCGGATCCCCCCGACCCACAGCTGGGGCTGTCCTGACTGAGCCTGACCCGGCCCAACGTGACTTGAGAACACCAACCCCTAAACAACCAGCAAAACACCGAGGGAGGCACAAACAACTCTTAAAGCCCTGACAGCCCCTCCGAGGCCGGACACGAGCACCTGGAAAACTTGTCCCGGCACAGCGGGGTGACAGCGGGTCACGGCACCTCCGCAGAGTCCCCGCACGGCACAACAATTAAGGCGTTGCCGCTTTTACACCGGTTTCGAGGGCTCTCCGCTCTCTTACCCCCAAATCACCGACAACCCCTTCAACACCTCCAATAAATGCCCAGGGCAGGGGGTGCCACCAGCACCCGCCAGGGACGAGCAGAGCGAACACGGGGTGAAGTTCTCCGGCGAGGAGTTCAAACCGAGCCGCGGCACAACGAAAAACCCCCTCAAAGCTCAGCGCTGAGAGGGTTTACAGGGAATTCCAGAGCTGCAGGAGGAGCCCTCGCCGCCCGCCCTTCAGCGCGGCCGCGGCACCGCAACGCGAACCCCCCGCGAACCCGCACAGCCCGAGCACCCCCTCACACATCAACGCTCACACAGCGCCGGCTCCGACTCCTCCACAGCCCCGCGGCGCGGAGCGGGCCGGGCCCAAGGCCGCGCTGCCCGCACGGTGAGTCAGCAGCGGCGCGGGGCGCCGGGGGGGGCGCGTTGCGGGCGCGTTGCGGGCGCGGGGCGTGGAGCGCGGCGGCTGCCGGGGCGCTCACCGATGGAGTGCAGGATGGCGATGGAGGCCTCGCGGTCGGTGGAGAGCAGGGACCGCGCGCGCTGCAGCTCCAGCACGGCCGCCGCCGCCATCTTGCTCCTCCGCCTCGCCGCCCTCACGGAAGGGGCGGCACCGCCGCCTCAGCCGCGCCCCTTCCGCGCGTGCGGCATGGCGGGAACGGCGCGAGGGAGGGGCGGGGCGGGGCCTGAGGGGGCGGGGTCAACGGAAGGGGCGTGGCCCGGGGAAGGAGGGGGTGGTTTGCGAAGGGCGCGTTTGGAGGGGAAGGAAAGTCGGCGGGGTTTGGAGAGGGGAGGAGGGATGGCAGGGAGGGAGGGATGGCAGGGAGCGAGGGATGGCAGGGAGGGAGGGAAGGAGCGGTTGGAAAGAGAGCGTTTGGCGGCGGAAGGGGGCGTGGTTTGCGTGAGGGGGCGTGGTTTGGTGAGGGGAGGCAGGCTGGGAGCAAG